TTTAGGGGTTTAGGGCTCATTAGGGGTTTAGGGCTTGGGGTAAGGGGATTTTAGGGTTGTAGGGAGCATGGCCCTCCACTTGTTTTGATTCGTCCGACGCCTGAAAGAGGATCCAAGAGTCTCAGAGTCGAGCGAGCCATGGTCGTCATCTCGCCACTTGTGTGTGTGTGTGCGACGCCACGGAACGGGAACACGAGAGAGTTGAGTTAATATAGGGGTCGGAATAAATACTAGCTGGATTCCCTTATGGCCCCTTTAGAATCATGGTAAGCCCCAAAACCCTGTTCCAAGTATTTCTTATGGTCCAGTAGATTTTCTTCCATAATACGTAATAAGCCCCAAAACCCTGTTCTAAGTATTAAGGCCCCCATAGTACACAAAGGCGTTGCAAAGGGGAGGCTCGTTGTTGAAGCTGCCTGGCCGCGCTGCTTCTCTTTGAGGGAGCAGGAAGCCTCTATGCCATTTTCCCAAACGCCTAAGCCCTGAAACTTGAACCCTGAACCCTGAACCCTAAACCCTATAGGCCCTGAACCCTAAACCCCCCAGCCGTGCCAGGATGTCCGGTCGAGCCTCGGCGCGATTACCGAGCGCGACTGGGCTGCCACTAAATGCGAAATTTAGGGCTTAGGGTTTATACAGGGTTTAGGGTTTAGGGTTTAGGGTTTAGGGTTTAGGGGGTTTAGGGGCTGTACAGCGCCCAGAGGGTTTAGACAGGGTTTATGGGGCTAGGGCTTATGTAGGGTCTGTATAAGGCGTCTGCAGGTTTGTGGAGGATTTCTCTCGCTTATCGTAGGGCATATATATATATATACATATATTGATATTGATATTGATATTGATATTGATATTGTTTATTGGGTCTCTGTAGCAAGTTCATAAAATTTTATGGGGCTAATGGAGTTTGCAAGTTGTGTATATAGGATCTAGGGTTTAAAGGGCTTATGTAGGGCTTATGGGTCTACAGGGTTTCAGGGAGGGCCCGCTGCCTGCAATAGCACGGGAGCCTAAGTACCTAACCATATTCTGCCCATGTCCCTAAACCCTAAACCCTAAACCCTGAACCCTAAACCCTAAACCCTGAACCCTAAACTAAACCCCCTAAACCCCAAACTCCAAACCCCAAACCCTAAACCCTAAACCCTTTCCAGCGAGGCCTCGACAAGCTGGAGAAGGATGTGGGCGCGAAGCAGGCGCCAAGTGCAAAGCTCCTCTTTGCGCTCCCTCTGGGGTGGGCGGGAGTTCCGACCTTCGGGGGTTTAGGCGTTAAGGTGGATTGGGGGGTCCCCCCCTTTTTGGGAGAGGGGAGGGGGCGGGAGCCTTCTAAAGGGGTGATTCTGTGCGAGCTTTTGGGGTTCTTTAAGCCCTAAGCCCTAAGCCCTAAGCCCTAAACCCTAAACCCTAAACCCTAAACCCTAAACCCTAAACCCTAAACCCTAAACCCTAAACCCTAAACCCTAAACCCTAAATTGCATAGCAGAGGGGCGCTTGGCCACCGGGCGCCGAACCTTTGGGGCTTAAGGAAGTCGAGGAACGGCATGAAGCTCGAAGCTCCCAAGCCAGAGTGGGTTTAGGGTTTAGGGTTTAGGGTTTAGGGTTTAGGGCTTAGGGTTTAGGGTTTAGGGTTTAGGGTTTAGGGTTTAGGGTTAGGGTTTAAGAACCCCAAAAGGTTTGGGGTTTAGGGTTTAGTAACAGATCGGCTCCTGTCTTCGCCAAGCCCGAGAAAGAAAACATGCCCAAAAAAAGTCCCGTAACAGATCGGCTCCTGCAGTCCTCTCAGCCAAGCCAATGAGGCTAACAAAATTAGGTTGCTTTTTTCTATACTTTCTTTAGAACCTCAATAAAACCAATATTTTTAATATCCTCTTGGGTTTTATACAAAATAATATTTCCAAGGGGAATAGAGTTTTGGTGTCCGTTCATGTCAAGGCTAAGGCAGCCCGCAGGAGATGCCGATGCAGTGGCAAGAAAATTGAAAATGAGGTCAACAAAAAGTAGCTTTCGGGTGTCCGTAAAATTCAAGGCTAAGGCAGCGCGCAAGAGTCGCAATAGCAAGAACATGAGGCTAGCAAAGTTTGGGTGTTTTTTTTGTGTGTCCGTTCATGTCAAGCATAGGCCCTTGAAGCTGAGAGTTGACTTAGAATTGAAAGGTAGAGCTTAAACGACAGGGTATGAGCTACGAGCAACTCGAAGCTGTAGCCCATTGTTGTATGATTGGAGAAACACTTCGTTTCTCAATGTTCTGGGATTTTTTGGGTGGGTGTTATATCAGAGCCGTACATCTATCTTTACCATGAAACTGCTCGATCCGGAGCTGCCGAACCCAAAACCCTAAACCCTAAACCCTAATCCCTAAACCCTGAACCCTAAACCCTAAACCCGAAACCCTAAGTTCAAGGATGCCATCCTCCGCCAGCTCCACTTTCTGAGTCACTCGGCTCGCTCCGAGAGATCGGTTGCACCCAGCGGATTCCGCTGAGCCCCTGGAGGCCTAACCCTAAACCCTAAACCCTAAACCCTAAACCCTAAACCCTAAACCCTAAACCCTAAACCCTAAACCCTAAACCCTAAACCCTAAACCCTAAACCCTAAACCCTAAACCCTAAACCCTAAACCCCTCTCTCTCTGGGTTTAGGGTTTAGGGTTTAGGGTTTAGGGTTTTCGGGTTTAGGGTTTTCGGGTTTAGGGTTTTCGGGTTTAGGGTTCATCGGGTGTAGGGCTTTCAGGGTATAGGGTGTTGAGGGCAAATTTCAACGGGATTTAGGTTTTGTGGGGTTTATAGGGTTGAGAGGGTCTGCAAGATCTTGAGGGTTTGAGAGAAGTTAGGGTATGCCAGTTGCCTTACAAGTGTTTTTTTGGACGGCGCCGCGGCGTGCGGGTGTGATGGCATGGTTGCAAACAGCGGCTGCCGACTGGTTTAGGGGGGTTTGGGGTTAGGGGTTAGGGGTTAGTTTCAGAAGACGCAGCATCTCGAGACAGCAGACGATCCGATCTCGGGCCCGTGCCCGCGGCCTACAGGTGCTCGTTTTCTCCCCTCTCGGGCCCCGGCTCCAAGGGGTAGGGCGTTTTCAAGCATCTCACAGGAAGCGCTCGACTTCCCCGCAGAAACAAGGGTTTAGGGTTCAGGGCTTAGGGCTTAGGGTTTGGGGTTTAGGGTTTAGGGCTTCTTGCTTCGCCTGAGGGGGCCGCAAGCCCCCCCTGATTCAGTTTGGCCCGAGGGCCTGTGCGTAGACATGTGTTGTAGGGTTGCTTAAGGGAAGGGGGTTCATGGGGGGGTAGGTAGCTAGGGAACTTGTGGGAAGTTTGGGAGCCGAAGGCAGTAGCATAGGGAACCTTGGGTCTTGGCTTACATAACCTCCCCTTGAACCCCCCCTCCCTTAAGCAACCTTATAAATGTACAGACCCCGTTCTCTTTGCCAGAACTCCACACGGGGAGGCTTCTCATTCTGACTGCGGCTTCTTTTGCCCCAAAACCTCCAAACCCTAAACCCCAAGCCGCAAACCCTAAACCCTAAACCCCAACCCGAAGCCGTAAGCCCTCCGAACCTTGCAATGGAGAGTTCTGGGCTGAGGGCCTTGCCAGGCACATGCGGGGCACTTGTGGGGTTAGAAGGGTAGCCTATGGTAACCTTAGGGTACTTATAACACTACATATCAGTACCCCTGAACCCTAAACCCTAAACCCGAAACCTGAAACCCCACTTGTAAGTACTCAAAAAGATGTTGTTACAGAAAGACATTTCGTTACTTACCGTTGTTCGCTCATGGCTCAAGAAAAAGGCGTGTGCACGTTTCCCTAAATATTGGGGCTGTCTGCTGGTAACAATAGGTTATCAGCCGTAGTACCACGCTAGTTTGACCACTCTGTGATGACGGACCAAGCTCCGCTAGGTCCTGCAGGCATACCAGTCCCGGACGACGGAGCGAGCAACCTGAGCATGTCCTTTGATGGTAATGCTCCAGGTGAGGACGCCGCTCCCCGGGAGGGTGAGCTCCCGTTGACCACAACCGCACTAAGGCTACACGACCATAGGCTCTTTCAGAAGGGTGCAGTTTCCGAGGCCGGTGTCACCACCGGTGCCTCGAGCCGTCAGACTGCGTCCGCGCCTTGGCAGGTTGTGTCCCCTAGTGCTAGACAACCACCGGCCAGCCTTCCGATAGCAGCCGGAGGAAGCTCATCCCAAGATATTAGTCCGTCAGCCCAGAGTCTTTTCCAACCGACCTCCTCGACTATGAACAGTTTGACAATCGGCGATCAGCGAATCCTGCAGAATCAAGCAAACATTAGCAATGTGTTTGTTCAGAACGACAGGTCGCCGTTACTCGAGCAGATAGCTGAACATCGCCACAATCAGATCATTGGTCAGCTCGCAAACAATTTTCAGGAGCAACTCCAAGCAATGGGTATGAATGTCATGTCGGGAGTGTCACAACTCAGAGTTGAACTTGCTCAGGCCGAAACCAGATTAGGTAGTGAGGAGACACAGGCCAGACAGAGATTGGCAACAGGTCAGTCGCAGCTTGACTCGCAGGCCAATGAGATCAACGTGGCACGAGGTGAAGCTCAAGCTTTGGCCCAAAGACTAAGCGCTGCTGAGAGCCACGCTGACGCTACCTACGCTAGGTTGCGTGATCAACTTCACCAAGCGGAAGCTAAGGCCGTCAGCAACGCGGATCTCCTCAATGCTGAAATGGACAGTGCCCGTGTCGCCGCTGCTCAGGCAACACATGCAGTTCAGGCGACATCTGAGGTTGAGATTTCACGCTTGACTGCTGAAGTTAGGGATTTCAGGGTGATGATGAGTCACGAGTCAGAGAAGAGAAAGATGGCTGAAAAGGAGAATGCTGAACTGAAATCGCAGCTAAACCAGGCCATCGCGGCTCTGCAGGCTCATGCAAGCGCAACGGGGTCCGCCCCATCTGCGCCACCGGGTCTGATCCCTACCTATCCCATCAATACTCCGCCTCAGGACGCCAAAGGGTCAAGGCCCCGACGCCACCCTGACGGGGGAGGCCCTGATGGAGATGATGACGGCAGCGATGATGATGACTCGAGCAGCAGTCATAAGAAGAAAAAGAGCAAGAAGAAAGACAAGAAAAACAAGAAGAGGGATTCCAGTTCCTCTTCTGATCTCTCGCCCAAGCAGCTCAAGGCAATCATCAAGCAACTTGCCAAAGGAAAGACTAACGAGAAGGAGGAAGTTGATGAGGATGTAAACAAGACCAAATCCAAGGAGGCCGAGAAGATCCTGTTCCCCAAGTTCCCGACACCTGAACAGTACAGGAACTGGCGAATTAGGGTTCGTGAAGCTGTAGTTGCAGCGTCCAATAAGCCGGATGAAGCTTTTGAATGGCTTTCGAAGGTATGGGACAAGGACTCTAAGGAAGAAGAGTTAAGGGACACAGGTGGCTTCTCTACTCTCGATGCCAAGGTCTTGTCGGCAGTGACAAATGTCCTTGAAGGTGACTTCGCGCGCCAAATGGACACCCTCAAGGAGAGGGAGGCTCACGCCGGGAGGCTAGTGAGGGGTAGACAAATCCTGTTTCTCCTTCATCAGCACTTTGCTACAAACATCCTACACAATTCCGTGTATGACATGGAAGACCTCCTTTCAGTGACATTGGTAAACGAAAACCTTGTGATGTTCGTTAGGAACTGGGATACGGTGCTTTCAGGCATTCAGACCACCCCTGAAGACAAGGTTCTCGAACCGCTCTTTCATAGGCAGGTAAAGAAATGCAAAGCACTTCAGCACGATATTGCCATCTATGAAAGGGCTGCCGAAGGCTCCAGTGAAAGATCGTTTAAATTTCTCTACGACGCCGCCAATAGCCACTTGAATCGAAAAAGGCTCGAGAGGAACCGGGAGCGGATTGCCAAGCAAACTGGAGCTCCTGCTGTTCCTACTGCGCCTGCACCCAAGAAAGTACCCAAAGGGTTTTGCATCTCTTTTGTCAAGAACGGCAGTTGCAAGAATGGTGGCAGTTGTAAATACAAGCACCAGACGCCCAGCGGACGTGGCAGATCGCAGTCACCCGGCGGAGGCCGAGGGAGAAGTCCTTCAAGACCCAACTCCCCGTCAGGAAAGCCTCGAGTGTGCAAGTTCTACAAACAAGGTCGTTGCGACCGTGGAGAGAATTGCAAATTCATGCACACCGGAAAGCCAGGTGCCGCTGCTACACCCGACGGAAGTCAGAAGGGATCTGCGCGCCCTGACAAGAGCAAGGACAAGAAGAAGAAGAAGGAACGCAAGGGCTCCAGGGCTAGCTCCAAGGGTTCTAAGGGAAGCAAGGGTTCGAAAGGATCACATGGCTCCGGGAACTCGAAGGGCTCAGCTCGAAGGAGGAGTGGCGGACCTTCTCTCCCTTCAGCAGTTTGCCTTCTAGGAGCAATGATGGCCGGCACGGCTTCCCAAGCCGACGCTTTTACTCTCCGGAAGGATGAGTCGTACTGGCCCCCTCAGTGTTCCACTGACATGCGTTTGGCGCTACCAGCAGTGTCTTTTGACAACAGCCCAATGTACATCAACTTCCCACTCAGAGATGGAGAGCTTAAGTTCCCTGTTGAGAATCCTCAGCGCAGGTATGACAAGAAGTGGTCTGTTGACTACATTCCCAAGCCAGACAATCAATCCACCAGAGATGCACTTATGGCCGCTCGCATGTTGAGAGCTACGGTCAAAGACAGTCTGGAGGACAAACCAAGCCGTTGCAATTACTGTTGCGATACGGAGTTTGGTTGCAACTATTGCATTCCAAAAGGGTTGAGAGTGTCTTGTCCCGCTAAGGTTCAACTATCATCAGAATCGCCACCCATCGAATGGATTGGTGACACAGGGAGTGCTCAGGATCTCATCTCAGAGCGGGAGCTTGTGAATCTGCATCCGTACGAATCGGACTGCCCAATCAACATTTGCACTGCGAATGGACCGAGTTACGCAGGCACGCAATGTGATGTAGGGATACCATCCCTCAACAGCATAGCCAAGCCTTATGTTCTCCCCGACACTCCCAATGTTCTTTCAGTAGGACAGAGATGCATGGATCTGGGTTACGACTTCATTTGGAAAGGATTTCAGAGACCCTATTTCAGGAGTCCGGGAGGTGACAAGGTTTTCCTTGATGTGAAGGATAACGTTCCGTACTTGAAGTCTTGGAAGGAGGGTATCGCTTGTCCTGCCCATTCAAGACACGAGTCTACTCGGATCGATACGGATGATGCTGTTGAGACCATCACCAACCCTGAACAGATTGCCGCGCAACTTATCCAGGAGCAGGATTTCTCCCATCAGGCATGCTTGCGATTGCTGAAGGACTCAAACTTTAAGCAATCTAGGTTCAACAGGAAAGCCATCAAACCGAAGGACAGTAAGGACTCGAAGTACATGATTTTCGGGGCTTTTTCACATGGGGGGATGCAAGGGATAACCAATCGCACTCATTCCTACCCCAAGGTGATTAAGTACCTTCTGTCCTATCTTAAACATCATGGAGCGGATGGCCCAATAACATCGATTGCTGTCAATCAGAACTCAGGCGTTAAAATGCACAAGGATGTCAACAATCACCGTGAACACCTCAACTACACCATTGCAGTCGGCGATTTCACCGGAGGCGAATTGTGGATTCACGATGACACCATCCGGAAGGATGAGCCAGGTTGCATCAACAAGATCGCCCCCACTGGTGCCAAACTGGGAGGTCGTTTGCACAGGTCGAAGTCGAAGATCATTTCCTTCGATCCAAAGACTTTCCATTGCGTCACTCCCTGGAAGGGCGAGCGTTGGAGCATCACGGGATACGTCAATCGCGCTGTGCACAGGCTGGATTCGCATCAGCTAGAGAAGCTTAAGTCACTGGGGTTCTTGCTGCCGAAACAGAAGAACTTCCCTCCAGCAGTGCCTGCGGAAATCGATGAGGAGATGACTCTTTACGAGTTAGCTACTATGGATCCTCCAGCTCCGGCCCCAGAACCGAAAAGCAAGCCTAAAGTGAAGTTGAAAAAAAAGCCTGAGGAACCCTCAGACAAGAAGAAGATTGCCAAAGAAGCCTCCAAAGCCGAACCACCTTCGGATGAACCAGATTGGTCAAAAGTCGAGGGGTTATTGAAGGAAGCTGTTGCCCCCATCCCTTCATCTCCGGATGAAGAGTTCCTTGATAAAACGGAACTGATCAGGTCGCCGAAACCCGATTCAGGTGAGCCGAGCGTCCTCCCTCCTCCTCCGGAAGGAGAGAGGCATGCTCCAGATGGGGATCCTGGTGAGGGTAGTGGTGGGGAAGGCAAGAGGTCGAGGCGCATTGAGAATTTGAAGAAAGAAGCCAAGTCAGCGGCGCATCTCATGACGCACCTTCCCAAAAATCCATTCTGTGATGTTTGCCAAAGAGCTAAGATGTACAAGCCGCCTTCGTACCAAACGGATGGCTGGCACAGCGTCGAAGATAAGGCGTTTGGAGACCATATCACTGCGGATCACATCATTGTGTACCGTGATAGGGATACGGTTATAGAAGAATCCAGATTGGCCCTCGTACTGAAGGATGTTGCGACTTCTTTTACGTATGCCTACCCTTCAGCACTGAGGTCAGAGGATGAGTGCATTGCAGCATTGCAACATTTCGTTTCCTCCTCTGACGAGGTAGGGGTATTCTACAGCGATCAAGCTAAAGAACTCATCTCTGCCGCCAAGTTCTTAGGTTGGAGACATGAACAATCCAAAGCGTATATTCATCAATCCAACGCGATCGCAGAACGCGCAGTGCGCGCCACCACCGAGGGTACTAGAAGCAATTTGCTTCAGGCCGGGCTCTCGCATGTGTACTGGCCACAGGCTCTCGAGCATGCGTGTACCGCTGTGAATATAAGTAACCCCCATGGGGCGAAGTTTACACCGTGGTTCAAGCGTTTCGGGAGCCAGTTCCCGGGAAAGGTCATTCCCTTTGGTTGCAGAATCGACTATTGGGTTGGACCCAAGAAAAAGCGCAAGAATCGTGAAAGGTTCGAGCCAACTGCTGAACCAGGTGTTTTCGTGGGATATCATTTTCAGCCGGGCATGAAATGGAAGCACGAGGTATTGGTTCTTTCACTGAAAGAGTTAAATCGACAGGACTTCCATGAATGCATCAAGCCCATAAGAGCATACCAGTTTAAGGTGCCTGAAGGTGATTTCACTTTTCCCATGAAACAGAGGTACGAACGTGTGCAACAAGGTCTCGCTGCCGATGCCCTCGAGCGACCAGCGACGGAGTCACTCCACAATCAGGACGCTGAGCCCTCAGCTGAACAGGCCGCTGAAGCTTCTGACGCCGACCGGAAGGTTGAGCCCCCTAAAGTTCTTCACCCCAAAACCGGCAAGGAGATTCCTCTGCCGGAAGGTGGGAAGTACTATGATTCGGGGGGTACACTAGGTCGTCGCTACGGGGGGACTAGAGGTTCTAGAAAGCCGGACAGCATTCCGAGCGATCTATGGGTCCGTCTCTCTAAAGCACAAAAGGAGAAGGCCATTGATGATGAGGCTCGAGAGCAAGCTTTGAGAGATCTCGAGGCCCGAGAAACTCCCTCGTCAAGTAGCAGCGCCAGGCCATCTGCAGTAGCTAATCCGGTTAAAGATGAATGGACAATTCGGGGGGATAAGCTCATCCGCTTTCACTACTCTCCGAGACGTGAACTGTTCTCCCCTGATCTCACTGATTGTCCTGTTCCTATCTCCGCTCTTGGTAAAGAGAGATTGACCAAAATCATGCCAATTGGAGGTACGGACATCATAGCCGATTGTGATGAATGGCGTCATGTACGCAAGCGCAACAAGAAGCTCAGCTTCAAATGGGTTGGTCGTACTGAGTTCGACATCCTTACCAAACCCCACACTTCGGAAGAAGCTGTTAAAGATTTCCCATGTATGCCTACAGTTCCCATGTCCAATCATCAACATAGGGACAAGATCCCTGTTTCCCGCGCTCTTACTGCCGAGCAAGTTCAGGAAGCTATGGCTATGGTTGCCAGGCCAGTAGGAAGAAAAGAGCTGTTAGCTGATCCTCAGGCCCAAGCTTCTCTTGAAGTTGAATGGGAAAAGTTGATGAAGAAGAAAGCCTGGGACATGTCATCTGTTCGTGAATGGGAAGAAGTCTCTAAAGAGGCAGCCAAAAGAGGAAAGAAGGCCCACGTTGGCAAAATCTTTGAAATCTGCGTGGAAAAGGGCAGTGAGCTTCCTAAAGGGAATCCCTTACGGAAGTTCAAGGGTAGGACCGTCTTTCAGGGCAACAATGTGAAGGACGAGAACAATGACACCGCTCTCTTTAGTGAGCTGGGCTCTAGTCCCGCCACCATGGAAGCGGGTAAGGTTCTCGACGCCTATGGCCATGCCCCCGGCCACGATGTGGAACAGGGGGATGGTAAACAGGCGTACACGCAAACGACTCTGAAAGGCGCTGACACTTGGGTCAGGCTCCCACGTGAGCGTTGGCCTAAGGAGTGGGTCGGCAAGTTTAGGGACCCCGTCGTCCGCCTCAGATTGGCTCTTTACGGGCACCCAGACAGCGGGGGCTTCTGGGAGCAACATTGCGAAAAGCGCTTACGGGAGGTTGGTTTTGAGCTCGTGTTTCCCGCTGCATGGCCATCTGTCTTTTATCATCCCACATTGAAGCTTTTATTAGCCGTGTATGTAGATGATTTCAAGATGGCCGGGCCAAAAGAGAACCTAGCCAAGGGTTGGGAACTCATCGGCTCTCGCATCGATATGGATACACCTACTCCCATCGGAAGATATCTGGGATGTGAACACTTATCTCAGTCTTCATCGCTTGGAAAAGCCGATCATCCTTTTGCGCATGTCTTCGACAAATCCCTTCCTGATCCCGCTGCCAAACCTGCCACTGCCGCAGCCAAAGAAGATTTCACCGAATACTACCCTGAAGAAGGGATGGTTGTCCGACATCACGTTCAGCCCCGCAAGGCGTTGTTCAAGCCTCGCGCGGCGGAAGCCGTCGCACTTGACCTTAGTCCGCACAGACTCACATTGATGCGCCCTCTAGGTTCTGAGGCCGCGCCAGACGAGCTCTGGGACACGGGGGGTGCTAAGCACAAACGTGATCACTTATGGACAGGTGCTACTTATCTTGCCGCCAACGGTCACACCGAGCGTTCCGCAATGGCAGCCGTGAAAAAGATTAGAGACAAACTTAATGCCAAGAAAGCAGCCCGCAAACACGCTTTCTATGATGTCAATCAGTTGAGTGATCATCAGGGTTGTATGTATGCTAAGACCAGACAAGTCGTCTATGACATGAGTTCCTTCTTGCAGCAGGCCATCGACCGCTACAAAGAACTCACTGGTCCCGAGTGGCATAACCTTAAAAAGGTATCAACGCCCTTCTATGATGACAAAATCGCTCGCCCCACTGACGCGGAGGCTGAACCCAAAGGCAAGCTTGCTCCTATTGCGAGTCGTGTGCTCATGAAGTTGCTGTTTGCAGCAAGGATGGCTCGTTATGACTTATTACGTGCTGTCCAGGGTTTAGCTAGCCGGGTCACTAAGTGGTCTGCCGACTGCGACAAGGCACTGCACAGACTCATGTGTTATGTTGCGTCCACTCTTGACCATCGAATGACCTGCTTTATAGGAGACTCCCTTGATAAGTGTAAGCTCTGGCTGTTCGCTGATTCTGATCACGCAGGCGAACATGACAACAAAAGCACTTCAGGAGGTTTCCTCGCGTTGGTAGGACCCAACACCTACTTTCCCTTGTCCGCTTTTAGCAAAAAGCAAACGAGCACCGCGCTTAGTTCCACTGAAGCAGAAGTCGTATGTGCGAACGTTACTCTGCGAGCCTTGGGTCTTCCTTCATCTGCACTATGGAGCGTGCTCCTGAACGCGGGGGGGGATACAGCTCCCAAGCCTCTTCGTAGTGACATTGCTAAGCACGATTTCAAACCCAAATCTTATCCTTTCCAGGGAATCTCGACCATCAACAAGACAGGACGTCATCTCCTTGCAGACGGAAGGATTGTGGAGGTTTTTAGCAAAAGTAGCTCTTTACCCTTTCCCGTTGAGCTGACTAGTCACCCTATCAGGGATCTTTGGTTGCTCCAAAAAGGGAAGTGGACTTTGCATCAAAGGGCGGTTGCTTGGGAAGAATTGGATGAAGACGAACGCACTCTGCCTCCAGATGATTTCGAGTATGGCATCCTCGTGTATAGAAGGTCCACCGCAGAATACCGCCGCCACGCGGAAGCGGAGGCCATCCTCCAGAGGGAAGCCGAGGGCATAAGGGGTTCGGGGGGTGGTGTCGATACTGAGGTTGGAGTCACTAGGAAACCTTGCGACTTCGGACTAATAATGTCTGTGCCTCATTCGATTCAGCCAGTTGTCTTAGAGGATAATCAGGCCACCATCCGCATCCTAGAGTCTGGAAAATCCCCAGCCTTCCGTCATTCTGACAAGACTCAAAGAATCAATTTAGGATGGATCGCAGAGCAGTTTCGTAGGAAGCACTATGACCTTGCTTACATCAACACCAATCTTCAAGCTGCTGACATCCTTACAAAACCCTTTACCAATGCTGAAAAGTGGCGAAATGCCTTGCTATTGATGGGAATCACTCAGCGGAAGCTCGAGAGCCGTAAGGCTACACCGGCCAGCGTTCCGCCGCCCGCCGTTGCGAGCGACTCGAGGCCCGACAGCAAAACGAAGCGGGTCATTATAGAGGTTTGCTGTAGTGATGACTCCATCATTGGGGAAATAGCTCATCATGAGTTTCCCGAGTGTAAGGTAGTTAGAGTCACCGAAAGCATGGACCTTAACTCACCAGATACCCGTAGAGCCATCATCGACATTGCCAAAGAACACCACCGAGCTGGCGCTCGTGTTCTAACATGGGTTAGCTTGCCTTGCACTGGTGGCAGTCAATGGACTAGAATCAACCTTAAGGTTCCCAAAAATAGAGATGCTGTGCTTGATGCCAGAAGAAAGTTCAAGAAGTTGTGGGCATCATTCGTTGATCTTTCTCAGGGCCTTGATAAGGCGTCCGTTGACTACTGTGTTGAATGGCCAAGGGACTGTGAGTATTGGGGATGGGACAAAGTGAGGAAGTGGCTTGATAGGCATCCGTTTGTTTATGCCAAATTTGATGGTTGCAGGTTCGGATTGCATAACAAGAAGGGTGTTCCCGTGAAAAAGCCGTGGTGTGTTGCCACTACCCTTCAAACAGTGTACAATCGTCTCAATGACAAAAAGTGCACTCGTAGCCACGAGCATGCTAAATGCCTGAAGGAATCAGAAAATTACAGTAAACCTCTTGCACGGGCTATTCACAAA